CACACACACACACACACACACGCACACACACACACACACACACACACACACACACACACACACACACACACACACACACACAAAGAAAGATATGAAAAATAGTGACAAGGCCCTCATGAAACCCAGCTTGCAATAAACAAAAGAGAACTCACTTTTTGAAGGATTTCTTCCATTGAAAATTTAAGTCGATATATATGCCCAACACCTGGAACAGCCTGAAGTAAAAAAAAAAAAGCATCATGTTGCTTGCATTTTCAGACCAGATACTGTATGGTTGAAAAATAGGAAATCCTGCAATTGTAGAAAGCACACCCACCCCCCATATAACACACACTTCAATTCCACTGATTTCAGTAGAAGAGTTCTGCATCAGATTAACCCTCTCCTGGTGTAATCCCTGGGATGTAGAAGGCTTTAGTTTAGCTGGACTCCCCCCTCCCTCCGCCCCCATGCTTACAGGCAACTGCCAGAGCCTATTGATATCATTTGCAGACATGATCATGATGAGGAGAGGAAACTTGCTGAAGATGCTTTGAGAAATGTACTATTGGAACTGTCAAAAGTTGAGGGGTTTTGTTGTTGGTTGCAAATAGTGAGGGGGCCAAGGTTGGTGCAGTTGTGGACAGGCGTTGTTTTTAACCCTTTAGGCCAGTGGTCCCCAACCTTGAGCCTCCAGATGTTCTTGGACTACAACTCCCAGAAGCCTTCACCACCACCTCTACTGGCCAGGATTTCTGGGAGTTGAAGTCCAAGAACATCTGGAGGCCCAAGGTTGGGGAACACTGCTCTAGGCCACTTTTGAGCCCCACCCCATTTGTTACACTTGCAGCTCTCATAGGTTGGCGGTACCAACTAAGGCTGGTGGGTATTGCAGTCGGACATCTAGAAAGCCACAACCTGTTCATCTGGAAAGCAGAGCAAACAGTTGTAATAAGATCTTTTTAAAAAATTATGTGCTTAGCATTTATACTGGCCCTTTGCTGGGTAAGTCTTGGATAATACTTTAATGTTGCAAGCAGTTACAGTGGTTAAATTTCTGCCTGTAGAGAGCGTGGGAAACTGGAGCCCTTAGGGGGAAGCTGCTATTGCTAGTGCCAGCTAAGATCAAAGCCCCCGTTCAAATCGATTGCGAATAAAGAAAACATGCATGGTAAATCCCATTAAGCCAATGGGTCTGCTTTAGAGTTTGGCCTAGCAATAGGATATTGCCTAGGAGTGTAAACCTGCCGCTGTCCAGATTTGGGACCCTGACTGGCGCGCAGAGCATAGAACCATTGACTCCCGCGGAGATTTCTGCAGGCTGGGTTGTATATGTATTGGGTGGCTTCGTGGGGCCGGTGCCTTGCAGTGGCTCCAGGACCGCGTGGCCACAGCACACACGCGCCACACACCCAGCCACACCCAGAAGGGGGGGGCAGAGAGAGCTTGAGAGGGACGACTGTGCGTTGTTTTCGCCAGCAATGGCGTGGATGATGATGGGGGGGGGGAGGAGCAGGAGGCGCCCCTCTTTACCCGGGCCGGCTGCTCCGGGCTCTTCTTCGTTAGCGGCGCGATGGGCGCTTGGGTGACTTTGGCTTCGCGTCTTTCCAGATAGGATGATTTCGGAGCCCCTCCGAGAAAAGAACCCGGAGAGGGTGATTGTCCTTCCCATCGGAAAAAAATACGCGGCGGAGGGGGGAGAGAGAGCGAGAACCCCCAAGGCCCCCGCCCGCGAACAGCGGCGCCTTCCGCCTGCCTTTGTCTGGTGGACTCGGGGGCCCCTCAGACTCGCGCCCCAACCCATCCGCAGCGGTGACTGCGAGGGGAGCAGGTGCCACCTCCCCGGGTGTGTATAGGGGTGTGTGTGCGTGCGTGCGTGCGTGTGTGTGTGTGTGTGTGTGTGTGTAGGGGTTTCCTCACCTCGCGGCTGGCTTGGCGCACTTCCCGGACGCCGAACCGCTTGCTGGGGCTTAATTGCTGTGAGCTGCCTTGTGTCCTCTGTGGCAGAGTCTCCAAACTTTTTACCCTGGGGGCTACACCGTATACTTTCAAGATCTTAGAGGGCCAAAGGGACAGGATACCCCCCCCCGCATGCATGCACACATGCGCACAGGGTTAAGGGAATGGGCTGGATAAAACAGGATGGGACGAATGTGGCTGGTGGGCCGTAGTTTGGAGACCCCTGATCTGTGGGAAGAAAAGTGGCATATACGTAATGGAAAGAACCGGTGGCGCCGAGCGGGAAGCAGGAAGCAGCAGCGGGAGGAGGAGGAGGAGGAGGCAGAGCGCCGGCTGCGCGGGAACTGCGCGGGGGCAGCGGAGCCACATCTGCGCGCCGGGGAGCCGCATCGGGGCCCTCGTGCGCGGCGCCGACTCTCCCTTCGGTGGAGAGGCGAGAGGCGCCCGGAGCGGTCGAGGCCTTGGAAAAGGACCCGTTTGGTCCAAATTCCAAAGCCACTGGCCTCGAGAAAGTCCGATCGAACCGCGCTTTTGTACTTTCCCCGATTTTTGGCGCTCAGTTCCCAAGGGCGCAACCGGCTGATAAACCAGGGTGCTTTGACACCTCTTACGGAGTGACCGTCGAATCCCGGTAGATTTACCTGGAGCAGAATCTGACTCAAATCAGTGGACATCACGGGCCATTTCTTTCGATAGTGCAAACTTCTAGAGAAGTTTCCTACTTTGCAAGAAGGAAAGCCCCACTGAACTCGGCAGGACTGCCTTCCAGCTTATATCCAAACGAAGCCTGGGGATCCAGATCGCTGCCCAGTTCTAGCCTACCATACAGGCTGGTTGTGAAGAAAAATGTAGCTGAGATAACTTTGTGAGGTTTGTGAAGAGTGGTTAGTAAGAGAACAGTAAGAATCTGTAGTTAGGCACAAACTTTGATAGCTACGGTAACAACCTGATGCATTCTATTAGCTATTTTCTACTGTTTCATCCAATGGGGAATATTAACTTTGTAGGAATGAAAATCAGAGATTAAAGGTGTCCTAATGTTTTGTGCAGCCTAGAGTAATTCCAAAAACAAATTTTGGAAATGAAATACTGAAAGAAAGGCGGATGGGTAAAAATCAAAGAATGTGATGTTTAGAATTTGGCTATGGCAGTGGTATGTTTGTGTGGGCCAAATCAGTATATCACTTTCTTGTGGTGTCTAAGTATATGATCATATAGTTAGGGTATGATAGGTAGGTAGTCCAGTCACAGTCACATGGCTGGTGGACCATATGGCAAAATTGTACCATAGCTATAACTATATACAACTTTACTGCACAATTATTTCTTCTGAAGGTTAACTATAACTCAGTTTTTCATGTATATACATAGAATATTGTACAGAGATTCTCTTCACATTGTGCACAAAGAGAAATCTTTGTTATATCAATACTTTCAGTGTTGTATACCACAGTTACACTTACAGCTAGTAATAGTAGTCTTGAGAAACTATGGTAACATGCTTTGAATAGAGAGGTCGTGGAACAGCATCTAGTGTGGCTGAGAAGACCAATTCGAGAGTGATAATCTCTCCCACACTGAAGAAAAATCCAATCTGTCCCCTGTCCAGCTCCCTGGTTTTGCTGGTTTCAGGACTGCCTCTTTGCCTCGGCCTGCTGGACAAGTGGCTTTTTAAACTGGGAGAGGCCGTGATGCACCGCCTGCCTCCAGGCTGAACGCTCAGATGTCAGGGTTTCCCATCTGTTGAGGTCCATTCTTAAGGCCTTCAGATCCCGCTTGCAGATATCCTTGTATCACAGCTGTGGCCTCCCTCGGGGCGCTTTCCCTGAACTAATTCTCATACAGGAGCTCTTTTGGAATCCAACCATCAGCCATTCTCACGGCATACACTTACAGCTACTTCACTAATAAATGTGAATATGCTATTGTTTGAGTGGAAAACAAAGCACTACTCCAAGCAATAATACTATCATCATCATCATCATCATCATCATCATCATTATTATTATTCTTTATTACGGTCACAGACCAGCAAGATGATGATGATGATGATGATGATGATGATGATGATGATTGTTGTTGTTGTTGTTGTTGTTGTTGTTGTTATTATTATGATTATAGGCCAGTTTTCTCCACTCAAAATTTTTTGCGAAACTAGAAACTAAATGAGCATATCACATTCTCCACTACCGCTTGTGACTTGAATATGCATGAGTCTACAGAAAAAAAGGCAGACAAAAAAATGAAAAGGCTGCTACAAATCAAATATGTTGATTATTATACTTTAATGACTTTTCCTCAATTTTTCCAGCTTGTTTATTTTATTTTATTTTAAATATTTTAGCACATCTTTCTCCTTAAAAAGGACCTAAGGAGACTTACATTATTAAAACACGATATTTAAAGTTGAAACAAGTATAAAGAAGCAGCTTACATTATTAAAAGACAACATTAAATCTAAAATAAGTATTCAAACACAAAAAAGAACAAACAAATACCACTGCCAGAGATGGTAAATACAAGTAGTAATAATGACCCAGTTAGAGTAGTAATGCATTCATAAGACATTGTGCTACCACTTTATTGAAAAGATAGCATAGGAATGTTATACATATTCATCATCACTGTCATCTTCTCCAAGACCTATTTTGGGGAGATGGGTGTGTGAACCGAAATTCTAAATCTGAAGGCGGAGTTTGGTAGATATAAAAGTACAAAGTGAATGGAGAATACTTCCCTCATTGAGTCTCACTGCTTATATCTTTTGCAGGTTTTGTTACACTCATAAAAAGCAAACTGGTGGAGCAGGCCAGTATGGCAAAGTAATAGGAGTTCTAGAACCTCTGGACCCCGAGGAGTATACCAAAGTGGAGTTTGAAGACAGAACAGTTGGAACAAACATCCCAAAGCAGTTTGTGCCTTCTGTTGAAAAGGTGATGAATTGTTTTTTGCATTTTGTAACTTGTCAAAATGAGCCCGTATTCGTGTTGCTGTTGTTGTTAAGACGATGAAATTATAAGAGTCCAGCAACCCATAGACAGACATATGAATTACGCTGCTAAATTAAATCCAGACAGAGAAGTAAGTAGAAATCAGTGGGGCAACTGTGAATAAAAACAAGACTGAAAATAAAGCACCCACAGTCATAATCTCATGGAGATTTTGTCATAATATTTCAATCAATAGGATTGAATCCATAAGACTGAATGGATTCAGTCCATATGACTCAATCTGTCCAGCCTGTAATACGATTGTGATATGATTTTCAGTCGTAATATGATTGCAACCGACTACAGTGTCATAATAATCTAATTGTTGTTGAGGATTTATGATTCTTTATCTTTTAAGTAGAAGCAATGGAGGCAGGGGAAGTTCTTGCATCTCACAGAATCCCCAGTTGCATCCTGTAGGAGGATTTTGGGAGGCGTAGTCTGTAGTTATTAACTTCTAAGCTCCAAGAAACATAGTTTGTTCAGTCCTATCTTCTGCTTAGTTTTCTGTATCACTAGAGAACAGAATAGGAGTTGTCTTTCCAGATGGAATGCCACAAATGCTGTATATTAGGGCCATGTAGCAGCTTTGGCCAAATCCCAGGCAGAATTAGCTGGGCTGAGTTGTATGACGTCCAAATTAAAGCAAAATGGTCTGGTCTGGTTGCTTTTGTTTGGTTGTGGGTCAAAACAAAAGGGTCTGAAGTACTTCAAACTGATCCAAAGGTTTGGACATCTGAAATTTGCTGGGGGAAAGTGAGACTGCATGTTGGAAGTATGCAAAGAGATGAGTGCAATAATGGATGGAAAAGAAAGGGAGCCAGTCTTTGTTCAGATACAGCTTTAACAAGTAATATGAGTTAAGTATTTCAGAACCACTTTACAGTCACAGTGCTTGCAGGCAGTGTCAGTACAAGCTGTCCCACTGCCTGAAGCATTTTGTTTATAGCAGTAGAACTCTGTTTTCTTAAGATGTTCTATTAGTTTTTGGTCAGGGCAAGAAATTTAATAACTTGGCTACAATCTGCTGTTTTGCTCTATCACACTTTGTGTTACTATTTGGAAGTGCTAATGCTGTGATCATTCCTTATAGGGGTTCCGTTCTGTCTGTGAAAAAGGTCCCTTGACAGGTCACAAGATTTCTGGTGTACGGTTTGTCTTGGAGGATGGTGCTAGTCACGCGGTGGACTCTAACGAAATTGCATTCATCCGAGCTGGGGAAGGAGCTACGAATCAAGGTGCCACTTTAGATATGGGTTGCTTTCATCTTCATCCATTAAGATATTCTCTCTTCACTGTCCCCTGAAGTTTATCCCTGGTACTTTGTAAAAAGTGCTCCTTCCATTGTACAATCCATTGCTTTAAGTCACTTTTAGTCAGTAGTTTAGAGGTGTGGTAAGTCTTGGTGTTTCCCAGACCTTGCTGATAATTAGTGACAGTATCTTGTGTTAGTGTAACCAATATTAATGCCCAATCTTTTGTTAATTGCTCTGACTTCTTAATTGCATTTCCAAAATGTTGCAAAAATAACCCTTGGATATACTTGTATAAAAATCATTGCTCTAATACCGGATTGTACCTTGTACATCTAAAACTTCCTGGGAGGGCAGCAAACCAGAGCACACCAAACAGAGGGTAATTGGAATGCACTAGTGGTGTTTATACTATGGATAGGAGGATACTAGTATAGCCTTTCTGATTTCTAGCTTTCCTGGTTCTTCCTTTTAAACATTTAAAAGAATATTAAACAAGATACAGTGGTGCCTCGCTTAACGAGTGCACCGTATAGCGATGTTTCCGTATAGCGATCCCTTTTTCGGGATCGCTATACGGAAACATACCCGATCTTCGCAATGTGTTGTTTCCAGAAAGCCATGTTCTGCTGCTACTTTACGTTTTCACGCCGTGCCCTCGCTTAGCGAAGGCGCGAAAATGGCTGCCGGCAATTGGAATCCTCGCTGCACGGGTAAGTAAGAAAGGTATTGGAACGCATTAAACTAAGTTTAATGCGTTTCAATACATTTTCCCTACCCGTTTAGCGACGATTCCACATAGCGAAGGTTAATCCGGAACGGATTAACCTCGCTATGCGGGGCACCACTGTATAAGGGAATCTATGTTCTAATGTATTTTCTCTTTGGCTTAGCTTTGGAGATGGCAAACATGTGTGTTCTTGAGCCCATTATGGCTGTGGAAGTTGTAGCCCCTGTTGAATTTCAAGGAGAGGTGATTGCCGGAATTGGCCGCCGCCAGGGCGTCATCATAGGGCAAGATGGAGCAGAAGACTATTTCACTCTTTACGCTGAGGTATGTGGTGTGGAATTTATTCAGTGCTCTTTCCTTTCCATGAAAGGGGGAAAGAAACCTATCTTTGTGGTGATGGTGAAGTTCCATTTCAGTGTTGTTGTTTTGGAAAAGTAAATTATATCAGCTAGCACAGTTTTATATGCAGATTTGAGAACATATCTAAAAGATCACATCTCCTCCTGTGAGCCTGTCCAGGAATTAAGATCATCAGGGACGCCATTGTTTCAGTTCCACAACCTTCACATGGGTGTTTGGTAGGAACACAAGAGAGGGCCTTCTCTGCTGCTGCTCCCAGACTCTTGAACTCCCTCCCACAGGAAGCCAGGCTGGCCCCTTCTTTGCTGTCCTTCCATAGGCAGGCAAAGACCTTTCTTTAGTGACTCCATTCTGTTATGTCAGGAACAGCTGTGGCTATCTGGACGTTTTGGGGCTGCAGCTCCCATTAGATATAGCCAGCATAACAAGTGCTGAGAGATTATGAGAGTTACATTCCGAAAAAAGGGGGGAGCGAGGCCACATTGCCCAACTCTGCTTTACAAGGGTGGATATAGGATTGGCTGGATTGTCCACACAGTGGAGTTGTGCTCACAATTACATCCAGCTCTCTTGTGTAGATCAGGTCTTGCAACCTGATGTTCTTCCATCATTTTGGGCTACAACTCACAGCAGCATCAGCCATCATGACTAGTGGTCAGGAGTCCAAAATATCTGTCTCTGACTTCAGTATGCAGTCGTATAGTATAAAAGTTATAACTTTTCAAAAACAGTCAGTATATAGATGAATCTTAGTTACTAGTGATGTGAAACATTGAACCTAGACATGAAGATCTTTTTAGGGTAGATGTTCCAAAACAGCTAGTGAGTTTTCTTTCTATTAAAACTGTTATAATACATGTTATCTGTTTACCATCAGGTGTCTTTGAATAACATGTTTGGATATGCTACTGAATTGAGGTCAGCCACAGAGGTAAGTCAGTAGCGGTAATGCTGCCATGCATTAAGGTTACTTTTTGTTGGTTGTAACATGATCTCTAGCAGCGGTTAGCTCATTTTTTTTAATATATTGCAGACAGAAAGGTTTCTGGCTCTTCCTCACTGTGGTTAATAACAGATCATGTAGAAAGATAGAATGTCTCAGATGCCTAGAAAGGCGTCTCAAGGGATCTGTCCAGGAAGCAAACCAAGGAAAGGATGAAAAGTTTAGAAAAGAAACTTTGTAAATAGCCTATATTGTGGGGGGAGCCACTGTTATAATTCTTAGCTATTATGGTCCATGATCAAGGATGGCCGGATTTGTAGTCCTGAACATCTACAGGTCTTTCAGTTACATATCATCCTACTCTTGAGAAAGGAGGGGAAGACATATTATACATATTATCGGGGACTGCAGAAGAATTGTGGTTGAAGTTCTTGCTCTTCTGAAATAAATATTCAGATTCTGGCTTGCATGGAAGAGAAGAACTAAAATGTACTTATGTACTGGACCTTCATTCCAAGCAGTCCCTCCCTCCATCTTTCTTTCTTTTGTTTGATCATTTATTCTATTCTTCCTTTTTCCTTATAGATTCCAAGGCAGGTTATAATACATGTTTAAAATCCCAATTCAGCTGTGTTAATGAACATTGCTTTCCTTTTGGAATGATTAGCTTAGATTAGATGTGGGGACGAATATAAAAATGAATCAGAATATCCCTGATTCGTCAGATATTCGTTGCTTCGTATTCTTGGGGTCCAGAGACCTTGACGAATAGGAAGCAACAAATATAACCCTTTTATATTTGTCCCTTCTTTCCCTATCTGCTTATGCCCCTATGGATCAGCTGTTCCTCAGAGGTATAAGCCGAGGCGTTTTCCCTTTGGCAGCTTGATAAAGCATGCCAGAAGTGAAACCTGCCCTCGGAGCCAAGGGATGGCTTGGATCGGGCTTTCCCTCTCTTTCTGTCTTCAGCTGCATAGGAAGAAGGGGAAAGGGATCAAAGCGATCTGGAGCCAGAGGATCCCTTTGATCCTTCCCCCCCTTCCTCACTGGGGATAGAAAGGGGGGGAGTCCGATCGAACCTATCGCCCAGCCCCTGTCTTTGCAAAGTCAGCGGAGGCGGGGGATCGCTTTGATCCTTTCCCCCTTTCCTCTGCTGCTGGGGATAGAAAGAAGAGGAAAGACCAAATGGAATTTATCACCCAGGCCCACTGCCTTTGCAAAGGCAGCAGAGCCGGGAGATTGCTTTGATCCCTTTCCCCTTCTTCCTATGCTGCGCTGCATAGGAAGCCTGTGGGGGCCAGGCCTTCACCCCCCCCCCTTTTCTTTACTTTTTTAGATAGTCCCAGGGGATGTTTAAAAAAATGAGCCAAGAAACCAACGAATTGATTCATGGTTCTTCTGGACACTGGGGGACAATTCGTGTTTTATGAGTCAAGTTTGATGACCCACGAACCAAGTCGTCCCCATCTCTATCTCAGATGCTTGGGAGACATTAGCTTGTTGCTGTGACCCCGCCCTCTTTTCTGTGTTTATTTTTCATGGTGTGCCTCATAAAACTTAAGCCATCTTTAAATTTTAGATATGTAATTAATTGGGTAAGAATTTTTTTCAATTGTTAGTAATATGAAGATTTTCTCTGTGCAGGGAAGAGGTGAATACACAATGGAGTACACAAGATATGCCATCTGTGCAAGCAGTACCCAGGAAGAATTAATTAACCAACACTTAGAAGCAACAGAACGATTTAGTGGGAAGAAAGGCAAAGCGAAGAGTTGATTCCTATCCATAAGAGCACCTTGTGAAGATCTTCTGGCAAGCTTCTGCTGCTATAAAGTTGTTTAATCTGCATATTTTGAACTCAAGAAAATTCAGAACAGATGGTGAAATTATGTCCTGGATCAATATTTTGACTTTTATTAAGTCACTGAAAGACTGCTGCTGAAACATTTACAAATTCCATTCATTAATAATTTGCTGAGTTATTGGCTTTATTTGGCAAGAATACTTGGCTTTGTTTTAGGTAGTAGATATTAAAATAATTACAACAATATTAAAATTCTACTATGTATCATCTTTCTTCCCTGCACCTGCTGGAAACTTTGTCTCCATATTCTTGCTTTACCACCCTGAAGCCTTCCGTTGCTGAAGTAAATTAATTTTTTAAAAAAAAAAAAATCAGATAGTCTATGAGGGGAACACGTTTTAGAAAGATTCTGGCACTATGTTGGGAAAGGAACCCCCAAGTCGTCTGAAAACTTGTGCCTGGCCTTTGTTTAATCTGCCTGGATGGGAATGTTGTGTTTAATATCAGTAAGTCCCTTAGAGGACATCCTACTGTGGCTTGAATAAAAGGTTTCTGGGAGCAGGCAGTGAGATAACTAAAAGAATATGAGAAAAATGTTTGTTCATGAACAATGTTGCTGTTACACTTCAGACAAAAGGAAGCAAAAGCCAGTTGTCCACTGCCATTTAGTCTGCTTGGGGCAGTTTGCTTCTTGGTAGGGAAGATGTCCTTGTCAATGATAGAATGTTCTACAAATGAGTTCTCTATCTGGATGTGCTAGAATTAGGGTTCCTGCATCTTTGGCAAGCTGGCATTAGAGAACTCAATTTTATGCCTACTTGGGAGTTTGATTTCTGTATCTTCCTAGTGACAGCCAGTGTTGTGGATAAAGTGTGGCACTGGACCTCTGGAGACCTTGGATCAAATCCTTGTTCAGCATGGAAATTCACAGGAGGCACTGGAAAAAACAGCCCTTAAATATCTCGCATGATTTGGAAACCCTACTAGGGTAGCCATAAGTCAGAATCAACTTGACAGAACATAGCATGCCATTCTAATAGATTGGATATGCTAGTCCCATATCTGCCCAAACAATGCTGTTATGGGATCCAGTTATGTCAACCAGAACATCAGAAGTTAATACAGTGGTGCCTCGCTTGACGACATTAATCCATTCCAGCGAAATCGTCATCAAGCGAAATAAAAAAGCCCATTGAAATGCATTGAAAACCCTTCAATGCATTCCAATGGGTGAAATACCTGCTTGTCCAGGGAAGATCCTCCATAGGGTGGCCATTTTCTGCTTCCTGTATAACGAAAAAACCGTCCTAAAAACTGCCGGGAGCCATTTTGCACAGCAGGCGGCCATTTTGGAAACCTGACAATCAGCTGTTTTGATCATCGTAAAGCGAAAAATCGGTTTCTGAAGCAGGGAACCGATCATCGTAAAGTGGGTTTTTCCCATTAAAACATTGTTTTGCGATCGCAAAAGCGATCGCAAAAACCCAATCGTCAAGTGGATTCGTCGTTTAACCACTGTATACCTGTTAATCTTCCAATCTGGTGTATAATGTTATATTAGCAATATCCTATTTTCTACATAATGCAAGCAAGCCACACTCTACAGATGGAATAAATAAAAGCATCAACTGACTTCAGAAATGGCAATATTTAAAACCATTAAGAGAATATCATCTTGTTAGGACTCTGTAGTGACCTTGATTCGTTCACTGCAGGGCAGATATATTGCAAATGGAGATTATACTGATAGATGGTTGAGTTTTCATTCAGCAAGAGGTTTCACTGTTGTGGCCAGAGTCTTTTGAAAGAAGATCAAGCTTTCTTACATGCTTGGGTGTATTTGACTGGCTTACCTTTTGGCAGGATAATTGCATGATTGGCAATAAAAGCTTTGTGAATTACCACTGTTAACGCAGTTGTCACTATTGCAGGTAATGTACCTCTGATCTCACTGTCAGCAGTTCCTCCCCGTTATCACCACTGCCATGTATACAATGTACATACCTTAAATGCTGGTGAGCAATTCATGCATTTTGCTAGTTACTAATATGCTAGTCTCTTTTTAATATACCACAGGATAGGGTTTTGCCATAAAATAATAAATTCCTGTGATCCATGTGTACTTGTTTTTATGAAAGTGCCTTCATATGGGGAAGAGCATGTGGTTCTTCTTTTGAAATTAAACCACTTGTCAATAAAGAGGCACACAGCACTTTTAACAAGTTTTATTTGGCATACAGCTTGCTCATCTTCACAAATCCCTGGTAGCTTTTTGTTATAACCAAATAGTTACTTTCGGAAACCTTTCATGCACAGCAATGCACTGATAAGAACAAGTAAATAACTGCTAGATTTTCTGTGTTGTAAGATTTGTTTTATAAGTGGATAATGATGATGATGGTGACACCTAGACTTCCTAGAATGGTTGGAGAACCCAACTGTGAAGGTGTGAGACAATGTATGCCGTCCTCTGAGGAGACCAGACCGGTGGAGGAGAGTGGTTGTGTGGAAGGGATCTTGGTTGAAATAGACCAAGCGCAGGAAGTGAGAGGAAAACTGACAGAGGTGTGTCTAGCTGATGAAGGAGGGGCGGAGCTAGACCTCATTGTTTGGGAGGAGGTAAAAGGGGGAAAGCGCGTGCTTTTTCAGTTTGATAACGGAGGGAGAGTTAGGGTGGTACATCGATCGAGGGATCCAGACCGAGCCCATGCTGTTATCAGGGGAAGCCACTGGCATTGCACGGGAATTCCCGAATCTACAAGTGGGAGGTGGCTTGTTTCCAGATCCACTCCTGCTGGGTAGTCGAGGCCGCCCATACGACCCCTTGGAATGGACAGTCGTAGTTTATCCGCGGAATTTCCTTGGGGGACGGAAAGTGATTCGCCCTGGACCAGAGTTCCAACGGGAGCCTTTGGAGGGGGACTGGGCCCGCCATCCCTGTTGCGGGACGGTTTGTGCAGTCCGGAGCACTCCGTTGCGGTCTCTAACCAATCGGGAGCGGTTCGGCCCAGCTCCCTTTTAGGTAGAGCCAAGGAAGTCGATGTTGTGAAGCCTAAAAGGTACAACTTGTTAACTGATGACATGTTGAGAGATCTGTTCGATCCTGTTGAATTAGGTTATGTTACCAATAAAGTTGTTAACTTTGGAGAAATGGATCAGCCTCCGTGTCTTTTTCCCACCTTCACTACTCGTGCCCCCCCACCCGGCCAAAGAAGGACTTTGTCACACCAACCCTTCCAATGATGATGAGCTATTGTTCCCACAATCAGTTTTATGGATCTGACTAGCTTGAACTGTGGGAGTCCAGCAGTTTTTTAGAGGGCCACACAGGTTCCAAGCAGATTTACAGCAGCCTCGTAACTGAACAAAGCGGGTTCTTTGAAAACATCAAAGATTTCCTTATGATTTACTATGGATCACAGTAAATTACAAGGTGTCTTGACTAAAGTTACTAAAAATTCCGTAGATTCAGCCAGACAGAATGCCACCAAAGCTCTCATCAGTTGTTTTATCTGAACATAGTACACTCCATAAAAGCAATGCCAGAAACAAATACACACTCTCCCACTATGCCGGTCAAATGGCATGCTGACTTTCTTCTAGCAACAAGAAAACAGTGATAGATGAGATGCCCACCACTGCTGGCCTAAATCACAAGGTGCTTCCAAGTCCTAAATGGATTTGCCTTTTAAATAAGTAAAATCAACTGCTTAAATTAGAATACTTCACCTGAAAGGGAGTTGGTTTATTTGGAAAATACAAAACTAAAACTACAGTATATAAAAAGTAATGAATCATTGGTTAATACATAATCACAACATTTTATCATAAATCTGTTGATGCTGTAGACATGTGTCTACTTTTATCATGGAATGGCTGGAAATTCAACAGGATTTTGTGGCACATTTAAAAGGTTAAATGAAGCAGAAGCTTTCATTATGGACAGTAGCCTACTTCCTTTGGATGCACGTCACCAGGTGGATGCAGTCCACAAAAGCTTACACTAGATAAAACTTGTTCTTTAAGGTGCAAGAATACCCTTTTTTATTGCTGCAATAGACTAATACAACTATCTTCCCTATCTTGGGGGAAAAGTGTGTTCTCTTAAGTTATGATGAAACTATAGAAGCCTCAGAAGGAACCAAATTCAGAGCAGTGGCATTTATAGCATCAGCAATCAACATGTTAGCAGGAGGATGTTCCTATTTAGAAATGTCAGATCTTTGAGACAAGGAGTAGATTTATCCTGAATTTCGCAACCAAAATGGAAATGTCAGAAACAAAATACCAGCCAATTGGGGAACATTTTTCTAGGTTTCATCCATCACTTTGAAGTGGCCATCCTTAAAACAAAGACACTTCAAACTGTGCCAGACTCTAGGTACCTCAGTGAAGGCAGGACAAAGAGCTATTTTGCATCTCAATGAATTGTCCCCCAAAGGTTTGCATGTCCTAGTTCTGTGCCAGAAAGATATGGGGCAGCTCTTAAAGGGGAAAGATGGATCATTTTTCATAGAAACACAAGCAGATGAGATCTCTCTTTTTTTGGTGCCCAACAGTGCTGTCAGGGAACCATATGCCATAAATATATGCCGGTGTGGAGAGGATCTTAAAATAGATTGCACTGAAGATAAGGACCTTTTAAGCACCGACTGGATTGCACCAAATTTCACAGTGTGGACAGGATGCATGTCTTCATTCAGGTCTTAAATCTTGTGGATCAAACAGGGTAAAGATAGAATTAAAACCCACAATGCACACATTTACTCAGCATATCCTCATCAGCTCACCAATGAAAGGATTTCAAACTGTTTGGGTATTGTTGAAGTGCTTTTGTTTCTTCCGTCTGCATTTCAGGGCCCTCTGATTTTGCCTGCCCATCCAGTCGTGAATGTATATACATCTGCCAGCTGGAGATAACATTCAGTGCACCTGATGGAACCAACTGTCTTTCCGAATGTAATAGTTGGTCATAAAGCTGACAGAAATTGTTCTGCTGTTCTTGCTTTTTAAACCTGTTGTCCAGGGGATTTCTTAGCAAGCTGGAACTCACAGTGTTGGATACTCTCTGTAGAGAACATGTTGGACTCTGTAATGTGCTTCAAAAGCATTGCTTAGGGCATATGAGCCTCTTTTGCTGATACAGATTGTTTTGACAGTGCTCCTTCCGCAGTTATTTTGATTCCTAAAACATTTGAGAGCTGTAGCCTGATGTTATTTGTAACATCTATAAGCACCAGGCAGCAGCGCCAGTGGTTACTGGAGCTGTACTCCGACATATCTGGGAGAAACAAGGGTGCATGTCATTTTTTAACAGCAAATTTCACATACATGGGGAAACTTTGACCTTACAGATGTTGGCCTTGCTGACGGGGACCGATGGAATCTAAAGCTTAGAACTGCAGAGCTGGAAGAGTCCAGCCCGTCAAGGAGGCCCAGTGGGGGAATTGAGCTCCCAACCTCTGACTTCGTACCTGGACATGCACATCACTGAGCTAGCCAGCAGTTCCAGTGAAAATCAAAGCATCGAAGGCAACATTTCCTTACTCCTGCTTTGCCTTATAGACTTCTGTTTTATCTGGTTTTAATACAAATTTCTCTCCACAGACTGCTCTTAACTATTGCTATGTAAACAGCTCTTTCTGCATCCTAGAGGTATAGTGCCATAAATACATGCAGATGATGAAAACTGGAGAGCCTCTAACTGAAACCCACAAATAGAAGACACACATCTCAAGATACAGTACTATGAATACTGGGTTCATTGCCTTTAGAAAGCTCATGGTGTCCTGCTAATTGATTAACATTCATAGGCTTTCAGGCACTTCCCCTAGTCACCAGTAAACTAGTTTGAAAACTTTCAATAGAAACATCTACAACAGTGGCCCCCAACTTTTTATGAATCATGGACCGGTTGGGGGGGCGTGTGGGGTGGGGCATGTACACGTGCATGGGCAGGGTGTGTTCACAGAGAGGTAGGGCACATTCGCACGGAAAGGTGGGGCGTGTTCATGGAGGGGCGGGGCATGATCACACACTGCATGGAGGGGCGGGGTGTGCTCAAGGAGGGGCAGGGCACCCCTGCATGCAGGTGGGCTGCATGGAGGAGTGCGTGCAGGGCAGCGGGAGATCTATCTCTGTGGCCCAGTCCTACCATGGCCACGGACTGGCACCAGGCTGCAGACCGGGGGTTGGGGACCCCTGGTCTACAAGATCTATAATACAGTGTAAAAATAGCTATAAAACAAGGTAAAGGTTACCCTTGACATTTTTAGTCCAGTTGTGTCCGACTCTAGGGGGCGGTGCTCATCCCGTTTTCAAGCCGTAGAGCCAGCGCTTGTCCGAAGACAGTTTCCCTTGTCATGTGGCCAGTGTGACTAGGGAACGCCGTTTTACCTTCCCACCGAGGTAGTACCTATTTATCTACTCACATTTACATACTTTCGAACTGCTAGGTTGGCAAAGAGCTGGGACAAAGCGACGGGAGCTCACTCCGTTGCATGGATACGCTCTTACGACTGCTGGTCTTCTGACCCTGTAGCACAGGCTTCTGCGGCTTAGCCCACAGTGCGTCCACGTCCCCCTTAAAAATAGCTATATGTTTATGTAAATGAATGCATTTACAAAGTCTCTACGTGTATTTATTTTTTAAAAAAAACACCAAAAAAACAAAACCCAAAAACCCATCATGGGAACTATGCCTCAAAAGGGCAAATTTTTCTAAGACAAGTTACACCTCATACACTTGTAGCAGAGTGTCCATATTTAAAAAAGAAAGAAGAAAGAACAAGGAAGGGTTTGGTGTGTTGTGTGTTTCTGGTAGCCCTGGAAAAGTACTGGGCCAAGAAAAAAAATGCCCTCTTGAGCTCCAAAGTTTCCCCAGAGATCTTCCAGGCTCTGTCCATCTCACTGGATCATGTCCTGTTTAATTTTTTTCACACTTGTCAATTGGCTGTGTATGTGTGTGTGTGTGTGTGTGTGTGTGTGAGAACGAGTGAGAGAGAGAGAGAGAGAGAGAGATTTGCAGTCATAAACGGAGAACATTCCCAAGAAGGACTATACAGAAAGCTAAGTTCTTTCCCTGGAAGCAAGTTAACTTGTAGACCAAAGTGGGAGTAGCTGTAACGGTGAGGCTGGAACGCAAGCACTTATGTCATCAACAATGCATGTCATAATTCATCTTCAGATTTTAGCTTTCAAACTCAGATTTCTTGCACAACATTGAAAGGATAGTTTTCAAGCCCATTTTCTTGATTTGCTGGTTCCCCTGTAAGGCTACATAATTTATGTTTAAAAATTAAAAACAAATTCTCTTACAAGGAAAGAAGCACCAAGTTGTGTTATTAAGCCCTCACCTCCAACCCTGAATTTTTAACATATTAGCTGAAATCCTGTTCTGCAAGTTACACCACATAGGGGAGATGAAGTCATCAGGCACAGCAAATTTTTGTACATACAATTTTTTGACACTCCCTTAAAGGTTCTAAAGCTCCCCTAGAATCCCCTTTGTCTTGGGGAAACCACTGAGGATTACAGGATAGAGGGAGTTTTTAATTTCAAAAACTCCCCACTGCTAAGATGGCTTTACTCCAATGGCTTCCCCATGACAAAGGGTTTTTTGTGGGAGCCTCAGGATATTTGGGGGGAAATCTGAAATGTTTTATTTTTTGAAAAAAATCACCACAGATGACGTGATCAGCCTTATGTGGTGTAGCTGCAGGAACAGGATTTCAGCCATTTTGTCAACGAAAAATGAAATAAAATAAAATAAAGGTAGAAGGTATCATTACAAAACAGCTGGAAACGGACAACATTTTTGGAAGAACACATTCATACATCTCAGAAAATTTCCCACAAAAAGTTGGTCGGTATTCATCTGCTTATATTTTTCCTAGCTTCTGCAAAGTCTCATATGTACAGGATGGAAAAAGAGGTGTGAAATGGTCCAACCAACATAAAACAACACAGCATACAAGGAAAGTACCAACATTCGTTTTATTGGAGATAACGGTTGGCATCAAATGTTTATTTCCAAAATGTAAAAGGTCTTATCAGTTTTTTTTTGAAATGGCAGTTTTAAAAATTTAAAACTTGTGTGTTTGTGTATACATAAATTTACCTTCTACCCAGTTCTCTACAGCGCTCCTAGAAACTTAGTGACAAATCAGTAGTTCATAAGATATATTAAAAACAATCTCTAAAAGGGGAGAGGGGACAGAAAGGATGGAAAAAGAATAAGAAGAAAAGTTCTAGGAAGATACAAAAAAAGAATTTTTCCTTTTATGGAATCCCCCCCCAAAAAAAAAGGTATTTAAGGAGGCTCAGAAGTGGATAGTGGAAGGTTTCCCCTTGTGCCACAAAGATTTATATAGAAGAAAAATCGCAATACTGATTTGGGAATATTAAGAGTAGGTGCTCTACACCTTTGTAAAAATGTTTACACCATTATAAACACAAGCATTGTCTTCACTTAAAAATTATTTTCTGGATCAATAAAAAAGCCACTTGTAGATCCCAATTCTCCTCCGGATCCATCTGCAGACTCTGAAGACTCTTCCTCGGTGGAGCAGTCATACTTCACTTTCAAAGGCTGCTCAAGCTTCCAGGTAACACGCATATGGCAGGCAAGAGACTACAGTGATGAAAAAAAATTAGATGAGTACTCATACAGCACCTCTGAGTGTTAAAAGCGGTCATCTTTCTCAATTAGATGAGTACTCATACAGCACCTCTGAGCGGTCACCTTTCTCAGTGCAAAAGGACTGACTTTCAACAGAAGTGCACAGGACTTTAGTGTATGGTTGAAAGGCTAAACCTATACAGAAGTTACCTCTATTATCGAGTTTAGGTTACGTACCATTCCACCCTAAACACAGTTGATTCTGATTGTGGGTGCTAAGCAAGGTCAGCCCGACTTAGTATTTGGATGGGAAACGATCTGGTGATGCCACAGATCTTTCAGTAAGACAGACAAAGAAAGAATCCTGCCCTAAAACCCCAGAGAGCCACGGTTGGTCAGAGGAGGCTTCTGATCCTGGCCAGTGATTCATACAACAGCTTTGCAAGATTGCTCTTCCTGTGGCCACACTGTAGGTGGAGTGCTGGGTCTGAAGGACCACTCTATGAATTCATAATAGAGATGTAGCAAGGCCTTCCTAAACGTGCTAAACTTTTCAAACCTCATTATAGAAATTGGAAAATTACTAAATAATTTCACTTTTTAATAGGATAGATGGTGTCTTAAATAAAGATGTTATGAGTATTCACGGTAACCTTGTCCTCAGTGAAACAGAGTATCTCAGCACATCGAGACACCCTTTCAAGACAAGACAGAAGACTTCTGTCAGCTGCTACAGGATTTTTTGCACTTCCATGAAAACAAAAGTCTATTTTCCTTTTGTCAGCAGCAGCATTAGCAAAAGAGGCATTTTGTGCAAATGCCTCTTTTTCTTGTACAAAGTACATTTTTTCCACAAACAAAAGTCCACAAAGTATTTCAAAAAAATAATGCAGAAAATGCATTAAAATGCCTGTATTTCCACTGGTGGAAGAGAACTTCTAATGTTTTTCATTTTCACTTCCAAGAATGAAATAAGTGAAGATTTACATGATAAATAGTGCAACATTCTTACCTCTGAAAGACTGCTACCAAGCAGGACAGAAAAATTAAATTCAAGTGACTCATCAGCTCTTCCCTGTACAGAAAGGAAGTTAGAATGAAGGTGGTCAGTCAAAACTGAAACTGCATTTTAAAACATTGTGCTACCATTCAAGAACTGCACTTCATATTGTGTTAACGTTACACCAAGTATGTTAAACATTAGAGCAAATACTACAGTGGTGCCTCAATTTACGAACATCCCAACTTACAGTACGACCAATTCGAGTTACGACCAGTTCTAGCCACAAAATTTTACTTCGACTTGTGGCTGGAGCTTCGAGTTATGATGGGAAAAAAGGCACAGAGAAAAGGTGGGGAATTCAAACTGCTAACTGTTGGTGGCAACGAGGCTGCTTCTTTGTAGCTCTTTCACCCCAGTAGTTAGAGAGTGTGCAATCGGAGGAGGCTTTGGATTGCCTGGCAAGGGGCTGCTTTCTGCTTTTTAAAAAATGCATGTTCTGGGTGGGTTTTGCAGCGTGGTTTTGGGCTGGGGGGTTATGTTTCTGTGCTGTGATGGGTCTTGCAGGGTTTGTTTGCTTTTGGGGGGTTTTCTTCGTCCAGAAAGAACAGATTAATCATGTTTCCGATGGGTCTTGCAGTGTTTTTGTGATTTTGGGTTTTTTTTCTAATCACGTTTCCAATGGGTCTTGCGGTGTTTTTGTGATCTTTTGGGTTTTTTTCGGCCAGAAAGAATTAATCACATTTCAATGCATTCCTATGGGCTTCGAATTACAACCATTTCAAGTTATAACCATCTTGTGGAATGGATTAAATTTGTAGAACAAGGCACAACTGTGCATTTGTAGTTCTACTCATTTGTGGGTATTTCAAACTCTTTCAGTGAAAACATCCCCCATCACCACTCTTTTTCAAACTTTCCAAGTGCTGTTACGATGTCCCAAAGGAGCATTTTATATCTTATCATTTTCCTCCTTCAAACATGGACAGGGCTGCATTGGGACATCGCTCACTGCCTTTGCATAGTCTCAGGTGTGACTTACATGGATTGTGCTTTATTCTTCACACACAGTTTGGCCAGTCCTGAAAACAGATGTTTTCTACATTCTATGGCAGATCACTCTAGAACAGGGATAAGGACCTGTGAAATCCCAGATGCTGTTCGACTACAATTCCCATGATCCCTCATTGTTGGCTATGCTGGCTGGTGGAAACTGCAGTCCAATAACATTTTGCGTGCACACTTCTAGAAAATGAGTCTTCCTCCTCCTGATTTAGGCAGCAAATTGGCATACACATACTTGGGAGCTGTCACCCCTAATCTCAATAGATGTTACTTTGGAGTGAGTGTTTTTAGAAGTGCTGGTCCTATTCTCACACTTGGCTTTTCCTATGAGCCATAATGAACATGGGATTGTGGGAACTAAGGTCTAAAACATCATGAAAGCTACATGTTCACCATCCTCCAATAATCCAAGGACAGCTACAAAGAATGGAGGATATCCTTCCCCTTCATTAGTTGTTCCTAAACTTTCAAGACACTTTAAGTTAATGCTACAAAACACAGTTTAGAAGAACTGGCAAGCCATCTGAGTAAAATACAGGTTTCTTTTAGCGTTAAGAGCCTTTGGGCACCAATACCCGGCACAAGATTTTTTGTCTGTCACGGAGACCTGTAAGAAAATTGTACAGAGCTGAGAATGGGAGCTGGGTGGCTTTGGAAAGCTGAGTACTCCAGTGTCCTGTGAAACCCTCGATTTGTCTCCACTGAGATTTCCATTAAAAGTGCATCTGGAGTACTTAAGACACTGAGATACCTGAATGGTAAGCAAACTGCTGTTGGTACAGAAAACTGTGGTAAGATATCTCCATTTTTGTGCAATTTTACCTACCCAAGAATACTTCGCATCCTTTACTTGTGTCAAGAAGTAAGTTGTGTCTTCAGTTGACTTCTCCCATGCGATGTAACTGCTGCCAAGAGAAGCCAAAGCTGACACGAGGTTGAGGGAGGGCTCACTGATACCTGAAAGGGTCCGAAAGAGAAAATAGCGTCAAACACATGATAATGAGCATCTTTCACTGAAAGCCAATACGGGCTTCAGAAGCTTATTGTATGTTCTCAGACTTTCCTGCATATTGTATGCCAGAGGGCAGAATTCTATTGATTATTTATTTACACTGACATTAAGTGCAATGGTATAAACTGCAGCAGCAAATGGTCCGTACTGAAAAAGCCTCCAATGAAATGGCTCCCTAAAGGAAGCCACAGCCTTGAGTTTACAAGAGTTGAGCGTAGGCTGTTAAGGACAGGACATGCCAAGGGTTGTCATAGGTTGGAGGTGATCTGATCACAGCCTTGAGTTTACAAGAGTTGAGCGTAGGCTGTTAAGGACAGGACATGCCAAGGGTTGTCATAGGTCGGAGGTGATCTGACATTTTATTGGAGCACAGAACAACAACCAGGAATCACCACCTGTATTCCTTGTCACAAGCCAGTTGTATGACATGGCACACAAGAAGGGATACAAATGGTGACCCATTAACTAGCAGTAATTTACCACTGCAGTTTACACCACTGCCCATTAACTAGCAGTAATTTACCACTGCATTTTACATCACTGTTCCTAAGGTAAAGGTAAAGGTTCCCCTTGACATTTTAGTCAGTCGTGTTCGACTCTAGGGGGCAGTGCTCATCTCCGTTTCCAAGCCGTAGAGCCAGCATTTGTCTGGAGACGGTTTCCGTTGTAATGTGGCCAGCGTGGCTATACACGGAACGCTGTTTACCTTCCCACTGAGGTGTAACCTATTTATCTACTCGTATTTACATGCTTTCGAACTGCTAGGTTGGCAAGGAGCTGGGACAAAGCGACAGGAGCTCACTCCGTCGCGTGGATTCGATCTTACGACTGCTGGTATTCTGACCCTGCAGCACACAAAGGCTTCTGCGGTTTAGCCCGCAGCGCCACCACATCCCTATGGTGGTGTAAATAACTAAGAGGATTCTAGCCAGTGTGTTTTTATTTTCCCAATGGATGTTTTTGAATGGAGGACAAACAGTACAATTTCAGGGAGGGAAAGCCAGGCACAGAAGGCTGTGACAAATAGTTTAATAATGACATGCTAGCCAGTGTGTTTTTATTTTCCCAATGGCAGTTTTTAAAAAAAATCAGATGAAGAGCCTATCACTTCAGCTAGAAACATTGTACAGTGAACTCAGAAAAACTGAATTTGTTGTTGAAAACACCACAATGGCCACCTGGGAAGAATTTTGCTGCCATGAGAAGAGGATGTTCATGATTCTGAACCTCAGTGAGGACTTCATCTCCTCCAAGTATGATTACTAACATGGCTCTAATTGACTTTTTAGCCAACTGTGATACTAAAATGTATTCTCCTATTTTGCTGAGGTGAAGACTGGGATCTTGCTTCACCTTGATCAAACCTACAAAGAAGCCCGTGTGGTCTTTTCTAAGCAGCTCGCAAATCCACGAGGGATAGGGAGCCAGTCTTAGATCTAGAGTGCAGGGGGGAACCGCAAAGTAACCCTTATGTTACCTCTGCCTCATGCAGAATCTAACATCCATTTTGTTTTGTTGGTAGTCTTGCTTCAGGCACCGTGGCCGGTACATTTGGCCATGTTTTTTTTTTTTAAACTATATGCCTTAACTCAGGCTTTGTACTATCTTTGAAGAGTTGTGGACTACTTGAAGGTTTGTCTGATTTGTATCCTGCTCATAATCCAATAAAGGGCACTGCCAAGCTCAAACTATGTTGCTATAAATGGATCACATGACCTTTTTTAAAAAATCCTGAAAAGATGTTTTTGAATGGAGGACAAATAGTACAATTTCAGGGAGGGAAAGCCAGGCACAGAAGGCTGTGACAAATAGTTTAATAATGACATGAATGTGGCCAATATCTAAGCCATCATTAATTATTTGCCACAGTTTTTCCAAATGTTGGAGACTGTTTATTCAAATTGTTTATTCTAATGTTCATGACACTGCTGTAGGAAAGGCGAAAGATACATGGACGTAGAAATTAATGTATGTGGCTTAGAAAAAAAAAGATAAAACATCTGCTAGATTAACGAAGGCAAGATCCCCGAATTTACTTCCATAAAGCCCTTCCAAGCATCCCCTTTCAATCTTCATCACAAATAGCTGTACCCTCTTCTTTCTGCAGAAAGTCAGATAAAAATAATAACGGGGAAGGAGACTATTAGAGGAAAATCAGACACACCTTTCATGCTTAAGTATAAGCCATAGTCTTCCTGGAGACGTTGATCGTGGTCTTTGTTGCGTATACAGTTGATATCAACCGTTGGCTTGGGTTTATTCTTCATGTAGAACACAGATGCAAGGCATGTCCCTAGGTTTTGCTTAATAAAATAAAATAAAATAAACAAATGTAGCCCTTTACCTCCAAACTAACAATCTGGTTTTAAAAGCATGAATAGTTTTAATGTTAAAAACCAGAAATGTAGCACCAGGGCAAGGCACCTTGGTTTAAAGGAATACCACACATTCTATGGTGCCATCGTTCATGTTTCAGAGGCAGCGAGATGCCCCCACCCCTGCATAGGAGGTACCTATCCAGGCACAGGTAGCTTCAGCTAGGAACCGTATGAACTGTGCCCATGCCAAGGGTAGCAGAAGGGATTACCCTTAAAGCACACAACCTGCACAGAACCCATGATACAAAAACAGGACACAAACAGATTAAGAAACAAGTTGTAGCCGTAGTTTTTTCTCCGTTCAAACAGAACAGCATTAACTAACCCCAAAAGATAGATGGGGGACTATGAGGGAAGTTCCATTTTATGTTAGAAGCTTACCCCTGTCTGAAGGTCTTTTGTAGAAAACTGAAGGAAATATTTTCGCCCAACTCCTGGAATAGTCTGAAAGAGAGAGAGAGAGAGAGAGAAAAAAACCATTGCAAGGGCTGCTAAAAAGAATACAAACTAGAAATCACAACATACAAATGAAGTGATAATAATATTGTGTCAAGATGTTAAATTCTGAATATATGGAGTGCTAAAAAAATATTGAGAGGAGTGTAGAAAATGCATTCCTGAAAATGCACACTTTGTTTTTAAAAATTAAATTTGAACATCAGCATATTACAAGCCACTGCAAAACAATTAGCTTTCTAGGTGAGTCTGGAAGCAAAGTTACTGTACAATAACACTGTAAAAAGTATGTATTTTACAAAAGATAAAAAGTTCAAACAAGGGAGAGAATTGAAAAGTTATTGAAATATACTTCTGCCTTCAACAATGCTGGGGTTAGTGGTAATGGGCTCCCATGTAGTTCAAAACCTGTATATAATCATTATATCCTCCCAAATGTAATTATAAAGCATAAACACATATATACATACACACGCACCTCCCTGACTTGTGCCAGCCTCCCGGCATGCCCCAGCACCCTTCCTGGCTGCCACATGGAGCCGCCATGCCAGGAAAGGGGACCAGCTGGGCTGCCACCATTAGACTGGGTGCCACTGCACTACCACCAATAGGGACCTTAGTAAGTCAGAAACACACCTTTTCCAGGCCACT